CAGAATATCTGTTAGGTCTACTCGTAGATTACATCTGAATGTGACAGACAATGTGGGCTGCTAGAGGCAGACTTACAGGTCTATTGGATCCAACTGTGCTTACTGCTTGAACCCCACAAAATGGTCTTTATTGTGTACCACGTGCCCTATGATGCGTCGCGCTTCCTGTGGATACTGCACACATTTCAGTTGCCACCTTCGGTACGTCGGCCTATCTTGTCACATGACATACACCCAGAAGATGGTAGTTTCTTCGGGTGGGGTGAGACAGTCCACTTGATACGTCGGCCACTATTTGGCCTATTGTAGCAACCCCGGATGGTAGATGATGGAGCAGCCGGTGGAATGGAAACTGGCAAGGGAAACTGAAGTACTCGGGAGAAAACTTTCCACAATGTCACTTTGTCTACCACAGATCCCACATAACCTGACCTGAGCTCGAAGCTGGATCGCCGCTGTGGGATGCCGGCGACTAATCGCCTGAGCTGTGGCACAGCCACTCAGAAGATGGTGACTGCAATGCCCGCATACACTTCGAGAGGACTGAAGCGAGACATAAGACATTGGAGAACAACTTTCTTCAGGCTTCATTTCATTCTTTCATATTCTCGAGATGTAGGTTCACTGTACGTGTATGTTTTCAGAGAAGAACGGAATCTTCAAAGCTGTTTGGTCATTAAATTCACAGATCGTCTGCATGCAGGCCAAACATCTGACTATCCTCCATAGCCCATTTCGTACGTACCACGTCCTCTCTTAGGTCCATAATTTGCGTGGTTCTTTCTGTCTTCCTTGCTTCTAGTGCATTTCACGGGCTAGATAGGTGCATCCTAGTTTTCAACAAGAGAACTTCACAGTCTTCGAGTTTAGCATTGAGGAATTCGGTCAGAAAGAAATATGTGTAATATTCGGTTTGTGGAAAAAAATATCTGAGTATTTGCATTGCCCAGAATCTCCAGGCACTTCCCCGTAAATCGAACTATAAGACCTACATACAAATTTAATTGTTTACCAAATATATTTGTAAGAATTGGCTAATTATCAGAAACTCCAGATTTATGTAGGTCCAGACTTCAGAGGAATGGGGCTTCGAACCCTGAATTATTTAATATATAAACCTGACCAAGAAAATAGCGTAGGCTTCTTTATATGCTTTTATGCATTACATGGCACCAATGTGGCGCAGGCTTATCAGGGACTCGGATGGAACAACAAGCCGTCCCATCTTGCTAAGCAGTTGCCACTGTCTATATAAATGTGATAGGGCCGAAGGATAGATAATTTGGCTGTGTAGAAAATCATGAGCTTTTCTTATTGCATAGGTTTTCCTTTTCTCTAGTTTATATGCCTATTGTCACGGCATCCTTCAGGTTCGTCAGTTGTGACATCACAAGCAAGCAGGCCTAGTGCCTGCTTCATAGCGATGCAAGTCTGAATTTCGTTCACCTGGCCCCGTTAAATAGTAAAGACGTTCAAAGCAGATAAGAGTAATGGCTTCAAAAGTGATGGGATATTTTTGGGTACGAAAATATAATTTCTTTAAAGATAAAAATGACTGACGTTTCCTGCATTAGGCTATAGGCCCTGTTTCAGCATTGTACTAGACCTGTTAAGAACGTTAGTAGGCCCTACTGTCCTTCAGTGAGAAACACATTTTATTAAGTTTTGTATAATTTTAAATCTGCACTTAAATGGAATTGGTAGGCGTGTTTGAATTTGTCACCCTCCCCATAAGATGATACATGTCGTAATTCGTCTGTATTTACTGAGAAAAAGTAGAGCGTGCTAGTCAGATAACACATGTTAGCGTCGTTTTGGGCTATAGCGTACACGTACAGGATGTGCTGTTTCGGAGAGATCGGAGTAGGCTAGAGGCAACTATTTCAAGATAGTCAGGAAAATTTTTAGAGATGTGAAATAAGACAAAGAAACTTGCGTAAGCATTTCAGTAAGACCGACATTTTTTAGAGATCACACAGCTGGAACAGGAGTGTTGTGACATCTGCGTTCCCTTCTAACTTCCATTGCAACCGATTTCTGTATTTGCCGTACTGACCATGCGGTGATTGGAGCATATTTCTATATACGCACAAATAAATTATCTTAGTTAAAATGACCGCTAAAATCACTTCCATTTTGCAAGTTTTATGCGGGTTTGTAAAATGTTTTGGGCTTGTATATAATGCATGCACAAATAAATTATTTTGGTTAAAATAACTTCCCTTCGCAAGTTTTATGCGGGGTTGTATTTAAGATCTGCACAGAATCAAGTGTTTATAGGACAGTTGTGTTTAAAAAATGGGCCCCTCTTGAAAATTCCCCAAGGACGTAGGGCCTTGGAGATTTATTAGCTTGACTTGTTTATTTTGTGTGCACTGTAGGCCTAATCCGTAAACTCATTGGTTCAGCAGCTCCTCTGTGGTTCGTGGCTTTTAGATAGATACCAGTGAACTTTATTTACTTTCTGTTGAGGTACCATTTAAAAAGTAACTTGTTTCTTAACCGCAGTGAGTGAGGGTTTCAGGATTAGGGACGATTTAATAAAATGTTACCGTTTATGTGCGTAGATACATGCCACCGTAATATAAGCCCATAGTAATGAGTGCTAGGCGGTCACGGTAGCCGAGCGGTCTAAGGCATGTACTGTCTTCGCTCGCTTGGAAGCCGGGATCGTGGGTTCGGATATGTTTCCTGTGAGGTACGAACTGAATTCTTATATATTATTCTTATACACTGCCGGTCACAGTAGCCGAGCGGACTAAGGCATGCACTGTCTTCACTTGCTTGGAAACCGGGATCGTGGGTATGAATCCCACTTAGGACATGGATGTTTAGGTTGTGTGTGTGCGTTTTTCTGTGTTTGTGTACAGGTAGAGGCCTTGCGACGAGCTGATCACTCGTCCAAGGAGTCCTTCCGTCTGTAAAATTATCGAAATGAAAAAACAACCTCGACACAGCAAGGTATAAGAGGAGCGGATTAGGTAAATAAAAGTTATTTCGATTAATGACTGTCATCATAATGTAGGATGTCATTACACGGATAGGGGGTAGATTGCTACAAAGATTCCTACCCCTTGGTTTGTGTCAGAAATTTGCCTCTTCTTTGGGGTTGCGAGAATTTGTTAGCGGTAATGTAACCCAATGTATGATTCAGTTTCTGGGCTGTTTTGAAAAAATGTTAACAAGAAACATTCCTTTATGTCCACGTAGATTAACTCTTTCCGTAAAATTTTTGTCACCTCATCACCGAATTTTTATTTCAAACTGAATTATGTAAATCAGGAAGAACGTTTATAATAATAGTCCATTTTCTCTCATATCGAATTTCACGTTTATAATTGGTTTCTGTTCAGTATAATTTGTTGTTTACGTAACATTGCACCCCCGGTGGCACATAGTTTACTTCTGAAACGCTTTGGTGGATCCTTTTGACACATTTCTTCTGTCAATGTAAGTGACTGAACTGACTTAACGCGGTTTGCTTTTAAGCACGTTGCCATGAAGCGTTGTTAGTTGTGAACTCCAATTCAAATTCAAATTAAGCACATTTGTAATTGTAGGAAGGGAACTGTTCTACCAAAATTTGAGACAGTTCAGAAGGCTTAATAGCATATAAGTTAGACCTGCGTTAAAATGCGGACTCGAGCTGATATAACATGTCCAATAGAGCGAAGCGGTTTGTTAATATGTGGTTGGTATGGAGGTGGTTCATTACCACTGAGTGAACCAGTCACGTGCAGTTGAGGAAACACACTCATTGGAAAGAGGAGCTAAGCATGTTCAACTTCAGTAGAAGTACGTAGGCCTAATTGTGAAAACAGAGGTGACCGGAGCGTCTGTTGGAGGGACAGGTGTTGTAGCATAGGCCAGGCGACATTGCAGTCAGCTCGGAGGTTTCTGTAGAGCTTCCTCAGAAGGTTAGCCGTTTATGCAGGATGTGCCCGTAGTGAGTTCAACCAATTGTGTAGGCCTGTTGCTGTCGTTACTGTGAGTTCTCCTTCGTAATAATGTAATTAGCTAAATTATGTGTTAAAAGAATAGTTTTCTTATGCCTCTTTCTAATACAAAGATCGGGGTGTAACATAATAGAGCCTAATATAACAAAACTATCATTGTTATTATTATTATTATTATTATTATTATTATTATTATTATTATTATAACCATGCAGTGACGTAGCTGATAGAAACTGGCTAGACCTATAGAGCGGCGCGGCTTACAGCGTAATATTTTTTAAAACTTTTCACTGATTATCCTAAACATTGTAAGAATTTCTTAATGTGGAGAGTTATGTAGTGCTAGTGGCCAGGTAGCCAGCGAATGGCTCTTTAAATTGCATTGAAATATTCGGCCCCTACCTTGAAGAAAGTTATCGTATCGCTGTTACCCAGACATGTCGCGCTCTCTCTCTCCTCTCGCTCCCACTTTCGAGCATAGGTCTTATTTCTCAGTTTCATGATCATTTTTACAGACGGTAGGACTCCTTAGACGGGTGATCAGCTCGTCTCAAGGCCTCTACCTAAACACAGGACAACACAAACACAGAATGAACGCATACACACACCAAACTCTCATGCCTTATGTGGGATTCGAACCTACGATCCCAGCGTCCGAGAGAGAGAAGACTGTTCATGCCTTAGACCGCTCGGCTACCGTGACCGGCATACATTTTGCCTAAAGACTGTTTATTTTGGGAAACAAACGCTATGTATAAGCTATTATCAGGAATTGATAATTCGGGCAATTGATTTAGGAGTCTTTATAGAGTATCTTAACATATTGTTAGGGCTATGACAGTAAGTCATCATAAAGATGGGAAAAACTACAAACTACGGAAGACTATTAGATTTATGACTGAGAAAATTAATGCATTGATTTATTGCTTGTCTTTATATTTACCTGATAAGTTTGTCGCAGATGTCGGCCGTCATGCCACCTGCATGCTTGTGCAGTTCCCCCCACCCACCCCCAGCCCCGCCGCAGCAGTAAAACACATTTCGTTTCATGTCGAAGCGGTCTCGTATTTATATATTTCCATAGATACAAATATACACATATCACGCCACTCAACACTGAAATGAACAGATACATGAAATTGTTTTGTCAGTGGGTTTTTTTCTTCACAGATTCCCTTTTACACTTGAAATCATAGGCCTACATTGTTCGGCGGAAGAAAGACATTAATTAAACACAGGCCTGGGCATATTTTTATTCTTCGTCGGACTCTAATAGCACCAACATAACGAATATCATATGTACATAAATACACTATGACTTGAGATGTTCATTTAAACAGCATTATAAATGTTATCCCAGTAACATGAACGTAATGAGGGGACGTTAACATAAATTATAAATACTCAGGCCTTAAAGACCTGTCAGTTCGTACTGATCCTTGTGTCACGGAATGGGCTACTAAGAAACGGGGCAATATGTGCCCGAAATTTTGGGGAACTCCGTATGTTGTATATTGAATCGATTTATCAACAACAAGCATATCCACATTATGATCGGTTATATTTTTTTACAGACATGAACAGATGTGCAATTTGAACGAGGAACTTACATAAGCACCAAGTCAAGTTACATATTATTATATTCTGGAAGCTATACGTTGTAGCAGCATTGAAACGCAGTTCAGTTAAGTTTAGAGTTTCTTGATATAATTTGAGATCTGTATTGTTACTTCAAATCACACGAGCCTTCATGTAAGCTAGAATCGTTTTGTTGCAGCGCTCTTCACTATCTCATTTCGTTTTTATATAGCACTTAATAGAAGCAGCCACACGAACAAGCAACCGGCGGCAACATTTCACCGAACTGACTCTTAGCTCAAGAAGCAGAATACTATAACGATCTACCTTGACACTGTCAGCTTTGGGTTGTTGTTGCTTACACCACTGTTTGGAATGCTAAACCCGGAAGTGACGTGAAGTTTCTCCGGCAGCAGAACCTCAAGAGATATCAGATCGAGTTTAATCATTTTGTCTCTCTAGAGCACAATTCTGTAACGTGAGTGAGCTAACTGTCGGAATAGCTCAGAGTTTTTCCAGCGAGCGCGTGTTAGTGAGTAGCTCTCTCGTCAGTCGCCACACCTGCTTGGCTGCGTTCTCCAGTGCGCTCGGAGACTTGCCCTTGAAGAGGTCGAGGTTCGGCAGGAAGTAGTGAGGGCAGCGTCGGCATTGCAGGCACGAGATCAGCTGCAGGAGAATCCCGTTGATGCGGTCTCCTAGACACGACTCGTCCCACTCGAGTTCCCTCGGGTGCTTCTCACATTCATACAGCAGTAGCGTCTTCATGTGGTAAGATGAAACCGGGTTCCCGGGCAAGTCTAAGTGCCTGTCGCGTAACGTCTTGAGGATACTGAGGCACCTACGTCGGCAGCCTCCCAGCATCAGACGGTTTTCGGCCTCTGTGAATGATAACACCCAGGCGTCACCTTCCATCGCGGACTGCTTCCCTTGCATCGCTACGGATTCCTTGGAGAGAAGGTCGAAGCCTTCGGTTTTCACTTCAGCAACCAGGTTCGGATGAGGCCATGGAATGTGAGGAATAGGCCAATGAGCTGCCGATCGTGGCCAGACTCCAGAACATTTGAACGCTGGCGTGATCTGAACGACGTATCTCTCACGGATCCTGAGTTTTACTTCCGTAGTATCGGCGATCATCTTCACCGAGTCTCTATAAGCACATTTATCGCACGCCTGTGCCACTAGCGTCTGGAAACGGGATCTGATCTTGCGTGCGGAGAGGTAACCGGAAGCTGTGATGAACTCAACCCACAGGGACATTGACCGTTTACGGCCGTCGCTGAGCTTCAGCACTGCGCAGCCGGGAAGAGTCCCGTCGTCCACGAAGTTAAAGACCCCCATCTGATTGAGGTATAGTACGACCTCGAATTCTCCAGGAGATATGACCTCCAGTCCTTCATAACGCCCGTTACACTCCGTGAGCGAGGAGATGAACCTGGGCTCCTGAACCTCTACTTCCTTGAGGACATCTTGCACCACTTTGCACACTTCGCGGATTGTTTTGGCCACTTGCCCCTTCCTGCTCTGCACTCGCTCGCCGTAATATTTGTTGATCTGATACAGCATCTTGGACTGCGCGGCCAACATGTCCGGTGGCACCAGCATCTTTCTCCTTCCCGTCGGACCAATCACCAAGTCGGTGGACACGGCGAGAAATAGACATGCAATGTTCCGGATGATTCTTGACTGTAGACTGTCTCCATGGAGGGGTGGTCGGTGGAGACGAAAGGGTGTGTCACCAAGGTTCGGGGGGGAGAGAGGTGTTGTGAACTCCGTGAACGCGATTTGTAACCCGCGCTTGATGTAAAGGCACTCGACGAGGCAGGCTCTGATACCACACTGCGCTGGTACAGAGCCAGGTGCCCTGTGCACAATGTGATGTGGGCGGAGCTCTTACCGTTCCGCCCGCTGACACGGCCAATGCCGGCATAAAGCCCCGCCCTCAACCCTAGAAGCGTCGACGCAAGCCGCGCTGCGCCGTGATCCCACCTCTCTTGGTAAGCTCGGCCCAGCTCCACGCCTTAAACAGTGACAAACACAAGGATCGGTAAACGGCCGGATAACCCCCCCCCCTTTTTTAAAAAAAAAGAGGAATGTTATCAACATGTCTAGTGGATCTGACTGTGATGGGACATAGTTTCCTCGAATTAACACGAGTGGAAATGTTTCCACACCTTCTGAGGTAAGAACAAAATTATCACGTTCGTTTTAAGCACGTACTCAAAGTGTATGAAACAAATCGCTCCTGTCCGTATTATAGTAAGCAGTAGTTTAGATTATAAATGTTACCGTTTGCGTAATTTTGTTGTTTGAAGATTGCTAATTAGTCTCTCTGTTGTTCCGTGCTATTTGGATGCCTCTGCCGTAATTGACTTGTCACATGTTACAATTCTTGTCGCATTAAGAATACCGTGAGGCGTTATTTGAAACATTTTCTGGTGTGTTATGCAGCTGTGATTCACATAATTATTGTAGAGAATCATTGTTGCATGTCCTGATGTAAGAACATTGTCACGCTTAATTCACTTGGAATAAATTTCCATACTGGATTTCTGTTCTCACTGCAAACATTGTTGTAGTATTGGTTTCAGATCCGTTGATGTGGAAATTCAGTTGTTCTCATTTTAACAATTTCTTTATGTCCTGTTGTAGTCTGCCTTTTATACGATGACGTCATCATGTTGTGCTGGTATGAATTAGGATTAGCTGCTCACTTGGCCTTGTCTGAGTTCTTAGATTTTAGGCTGTAAAATAATTATAAGCCGGTCAGGGTAGCCGAGCGGTCTAAGGCGTGCAATGTCTTCGCTCGCTCGGAAGCCGGGATCGTGGGTTCGAATCCCATTCAGGGCATGGATGTTTGTGTGCGTTTTTCTGTGTTTGTGTACAGGTAGAGGCCTTGCGACGAGCTGATCACCCGCCCAAGGAGTCCTACCGAATGTGTAAGATCTAGAAAAACCGAAGTGAACGGAGTTCATGGAGTTAGGCCTAGGCCCACTGGGGCTGTAGTGCCAAGAAAAAAAAATTATAACCAAGTCTGGTGGGTCGAACTTGATGACTTAAGTCGTGGTCACGCTGTGAGTGGCAGGTAGCAGATGCACTCCTGCAGCCTATCCATTTGCTGTACTGACTGACTAGTGGAAAGGCAGTTTCCTGTGACTTGCTTTCTACTGAGGCAATGCGCAGCGCCGAGACGGGTTTTCGTGACAAGAATATGGAAGCGTCAGGAAAGGAGATATGAAACATAGGATTACAAATATTATGTTTCTGGACATTATCCATTGTCCTGTCTTTATCTAAAAACATTGTCCTGTTTATTTTAGAAAACACAGCGTTTCGGAGACTGGATTCTGTCTCCATCTTAAAGTAAAACCTACTCAGTTGGGCACCATCTATAGAACTGGTCCCTATCTCTGGACTTCGGAAAGGAAACGCTCGTCGTTGGAAGCCGGTACCGAGTAACGGCTAATGTAGACAGAAGACTTTGAGTATGCTGTAGTTATAACGATGTTTGGAGTGTGTAATTCAGTGAGACTGTCGTGGTTATTTGTATTTACGAGTATAAGTGTCCAATAAATCTAGTTACACTAGTTACGCTTACCACGTGACAGTATTTTCGAAATACAGTTTCATTTGCATCTCTCGTCTACTTCACGCATGCAAATGCCTTATTTACGTGATGTTAACTGCTGCATGCCCATATCTTCACGAAGCACCGCTTCCTCCACAGTTATGAATGAGAAATGGTAGGGTCAAACGGCAGAGGAGGTACAGCAAGCAATTAGAAGTGAAGATGTTGCCAGATTGTGTTAATGGGCGTTGATGGCCGTCCGGTTCCGAACATCGGAGTGAGAGGGCCGAAATTTAATGGCGGAGAGGCTGTTCTCTTGAGTTAGTCTATAGCCCTAAGGTTTAACCTTTGTGACAGTGAAATAGATGTTCCGTAATTGAGTAGGACCCACCTAGGACAGTTTATATCAGCCTTTCTCATGTTGCTGCATTCTAAAGTAGCTTACGTCTGCCTCACAGCGCTCCAAATCTTGTAGACAGTAAATTGTATTCATGTGATTAGCCTGTACGTGAGGCAGGCTTCTGTTTATTAGTACCAGAATCAGAACTTGGATGGTCCGCGTGGGGCATTTCGCCGGGTAACAGAGCAAGAGAGGCAGATCTGTAGGGCTGTGAGTTGTACATGGTTTGAAACTAAGCCTGTAGCCCAAATTTGGTACCATTTTGTACCGCAAGATTCTTTCTTTGTTTTACAAACTCTATTGGAGGTGTAGACATTGTCTCAGGCGCAAAATAGCTCTGCCTCCACATCAGACGTTTCATGCTTTTCTAGGCCTGTGAGGCACAGCTCTGTAAGATCGTGTATTAGGCATCTGCATTAAAATTGATTATTAGACAAACTGTGAACAGTGATATTAAGTAGCGTATGCTTAGCTTACTAATTGTGGCTAGCTTTTGTTTAATAATCTAGAAAATTGCAAAACTTGCCTGCACGAAGTGTTTTATTTTTCTCTACATGTTTTCGAAGATTTCTCTTCTTCCCGTCCTCCAGACCGGGCTCTGGGGCCCACCCACCCTCCTGTCCAATGGGAACGGGACTCCTTCCCTGGGTCAAAGCGGCAGGAGCGTGAAGTTGACCACTCACCTCCAGCTAGTGTCGAGGTCAACAAAATATGGATCTGTACATCCACTGCCTCATACGCCTTCATGGCATAGTGCTTAATTAGTTAAGCACAAAGACAACTTTACTTATATTCAAAGAATGTTACGGTGTATTTAGCAAGTTGCACATGACTTGCAATCGAGGCGAGCCCACAGATGCGTCTGCGCCTTGGTCTTCATATAAAGTAACAGTTACCAGAGACTTTTTTTCGGTTTGTATCCGAATAGGAATATGTCCACTAGTTTTGGTAAGCTTTCCTAACGTGAAGTATCATGATAATTCGTTCAGCGATTCTACAATTTGTGACTTAGGCCAGATAGACAAGGAAACGCTAATGTACGCTACGTATTCTCCGAACTTTTGGTTGCCTAAAATGACTATTGTGAAAACGCGCTGTATGTAGGAGAGGACACGTTAAAAATCTCAAGGGAATGACGGCTTAAGAAGGGAACAACACAGGAGGTGCATGACGTGACGAATATCTCATTGTTGCTCCCGTACTTCGTGTATTATTGAAGCGTGTTTGAATTGGAAATGTGGCACACTTACACCGTCGTCCTGCTACGGTGGTTGGTGTTGTAGAGGACCTTCTTGGCCTACTCGATGCGTGGTACCTCACCTTCCTTTACCACCTGGTAGTTCCTGTATTCTGTTAACGAAGCAATTTCTGCTGTTGTGAAACCACCAAGAAAGTTTCCTGTCCTAAGGTCATTCGTAAGGTTTGCAGTCTAATGGGGTAGGCATAGGTCTCGGCATCGATCATAGTGGGCCGCTCGAACACTGAGGTCTTTATATGCATTTATTCTGTGTTTGTGTTGTTCTCTGTATAGGTAGAGGCCTTGCGAAGGGCTGATCCCCAGTCCAAGGAGTCCTGCCGACTGTGTATAGGATTAAAAAATGTAAAGCTATTCCTGTAATAGGCCATGAGGGCCCATAGTGTTGTGAGACGACGAGGCTCCCATATTTTCTCTCCAGACAATCGGCTCAAAGATGGCGGTGAGGTTAACCTTACGCGCCGGCCGCCCTTTACACCCAGGATGATTCCTCGTACTCATTTCTATTAGAGGCTGAGTCGAATCCAGGGCCATATTGCTGCTTGAAGGACTAGATAAATTGAAAAAAATCCACCTCATGAGGATTAGAACCCGCGACCTTCCGGCTTGTAGCTTAATGCCTCATCCAACTACGCCATCACCTTCCCCCGTGTATAGGATTAAATAACGGAAAAAGCGGCCCAGGTCCACAAGGGCTTTAGAGCCATAGATAAGTCTCAGTGCCTTAGCGCCCTATTCTTGAGATTGTTTCTGATACATTCATATCACATACTTAATAAAAACAGGGGTAGACCTAATGAGATCTGTTATTTTAGTTGATAAATTTGTTGTAAAACACCGTTTAGACTATGCCTATAGTCTAGGACAGCGAACGTTTCTTTACGAGCCTAAGTACACTGTAACGTTTAGGTACAAACCATAGACCTAGAAGTATGCCCAAGGAGTTGTATAGATTGGTTTCTTCTCGGATGCCACACCGTAGATAGGTACCAACGTTCCGGGGGACTGCCGCCTCCAATTTTAAGGTAGTAGATCCTGTCTACCAAACTGCACGGCGTCACCTCCAAAACGAAACTAAGCCTAATTTCCAAAGGCCTGGTCGAGAGAACCTCAGATCTCACAAAGTCTACGTAGTTTGCCTGTGTTACCATCCACAAGTGCACTTGCTATATAGTAAATACGTAGGGTCTGTAGAGACGCTCTGCCATTCGCTGTCGGTTCTCAGATAACAGATTTTAGCTCAGGCCTCCAGCAATTGGCTTCGCAGAAGTCTCCTTGCCACTCGTGTGCACATTTCCTCTTGTCATCTGATTCATCAGAACCCGTCTTCTCTCTTCAAGTAGAGTATATATCCTGCGTTCTGCTCATCGCTTCATATGATTTTACTTTTTCTTCAGTAGATAAATAGGCCGCCTCTGTGGTCTAGTGGTCAGAGATCCTGGCTACATATCCAGAGGTCAGGGTTCGATTCCCGGCGCTACCAGATTTTCTGAGTAGTAGTGGGTCTGGAACGGGGTTAACTCAGCTTCGTGAGGATAAATGAAGAGCTATTTCAAGGAAATAGCGGCTCCGGTCTAGAAAACCGAAATTAACGGCCGTGGGGATTCGTTGCCATGACCACTCGACACCGTCTATCCGCTAAAGTTTGCACTAACTTCGCCTGCAAGCGGCGATCGTTTGGTCGGTATAGTTCGCTTGCGGACAAGAACCAACGAGTTTGTTATGTCTGTAGATAAGTGGGAATCGTTTCTGTAAATGTGCGGATTTGCGTTCCCGAACTTTATTTCCATTCTCTGTCTGCAGCACGTGACTTCAGACCGCAATCTACCAGTTTATGTTTCCTAGTGAAGGCATCTATACGAACGTCTTGGAGAGTTGATATGAACCGCTAAATGGGGCCCAATCAAATAGCAACTTCCACGTACGAAATTAACCAAAATTTTTATTTTCGGTTATGTG